GAGCCCGAGCTGGCCAGATACGACGGGCACCAGGTAGGGCCGGGCCACCGCTCTGCGCCGGGGCCGGGCCGGGCCCGCACACCCTGGCGCTGCCGCCTGCCCTGGCGCTCGGCGCCCTGGAACCGCCGAGAAGCTCGGGTTTCATCGTGTTCTGCTGCTGTGCTGCCCCGCGATCCCTGCCTCCCTGTCCTTCCGGGCATCTCTTGCTTCTTGGGCAGCAGCCTGTGTGAAGTTTGCAGGCACCCGTGTGCTCCAGCCTCTGCCCCTCGGTTCGGCTGGCGGCTGCCGGGGTTGATGCTGCACACACAATTAGATAATTGGGTGCCATGTGCCCATTTTACTGGCTCCCTGCTTGGCAAGGTGCTCCTGCCCGACAATTTCAGATTACCATGGGCTGGAGACAAAGTTAATTTCTTCTCTCAGTAATTCATTAAACCATGTACTTTTCTTTTTCTTTGCCTTTTTAAACCCCAAGATTATCAAAATAACAAGATGGTTTTAATTTAGGAGTGTTTAGCTTACTGTGATTCAGAAGCCTCAGCAGAACTCCAGAGCCAAAACTATTGAGTCCTGTATTGATACACATCTGCTTCTCTTTTGAAATACTTGCTGTCTGACCTTTTCAGGGTGTTCTCTAGATACTTTGAAAAAACTAACCAATGTCTGACTAAAATTACACCTTATGTATAAAACACAAAGCAGAAGCATTGGCTTATTAAGTAAAACAGATATCACCAGATCAGATTTACGTGTGTTTATGTATTATTTATATTTGTTTCTTAATCAATGCTGTTGGCCACATGCCCTTTTATTTTGAGCAATATCCATCTGCATTAGGAATAGAAAGGTTGGCAATGTTCAAACAGACTAATGTGCAAACAAAAGGTGATTTGCAAAAAGGTCTTCCATGTCTTCCATGGGCATGCTGTTTAGATTAAAAAAATTCTCTCATTGCTGATGGTTAAATAAGAATATTAGGGGCAGTTTAAAGCACAAGCAAAGAATGTCCAGAGAAGGTACGTGTATGGTGGTATAACAAGAGTAAACATACAACAAAGAATTTGTGTCCTGAGAGCTTGTGGATTTCACAGCTAAAACTAACTGCATTTTGCCTGTGCTTAAGTGCTGAGGATGTATTGGTGGCTTTCTCTCCAGGAAGGACAGCCCATCTACCTGGCAGTGAAGGGAGTAGTGTTTGATGTCACCTCTGGAAAAGGTTAGTGTTCTTCTCTGCTGTCTGCTTTGCGTTCGTGTTCTTATTCAGTCATTTGTTTTTAAATATTCCCCATGTGTTGGAAGCCTGCAGTTCAACTGCAACAAAAAGATATACTTTTTCCTCTTCTAAAAAACTTGATTTTCCTCCTCTGACAGTTTCCCTACTAAGGTTTTGTCTAGAACTTACACTGGTCTGAGATTACAACATGTAGACGGACAAACCATCATCATCCAGGTAGCTTGGGCACTGGTAAGGAAAACTGGAAGACACTTCCCAGATCCCTGAGTCCTTGCCATATATGGGACCAGGCCACATGGAAGCTACAGCTTCGATTTTATTGCCCTGAACTGAGCAGATCAAAGCTAATGTAGATGTGCCCACTGTACAATATCAACACTGCAGCAGCTGCATCTTTGTGGGAGGACAGTTTGTAAGAGAATAGGGATAGTGCTGAAGGCAATCTCCCCCAATGAATTGTAGCTGTATTAATTACCAAAGAGTGGGAACAGCCCTGCCCTTAATGGGTCACAGTGAAGATGGGTGTTATAAAAGAGTGGGTTAGCTGGTTGAGAAGGAGTTGGAGCCTGCTGGTTGTGTTGTGAGGAGGCAGAGTTACGTGGTTGTGTAAGGGACAGAAAAAGCAAGATGCTATGCAGGGACAGACAGGTTTAGGTGGCTGTGTAAGGGACATGAAGGAGTTAGCTGGTCCTGCAGAAGAAAGACTAAGGAGGGAAGGAGTCTATGTTATGTGGTGCTGCCCATGGGAAAGGGTTCAGAGAAAAGGTAGGAAGGTTTTGCCTATAGGATAACTGATTGCCAGCAGCAGTCAGTCTGACACCACTGTCAATTGGTGCCCTGTGTGAGGAATGGGTGACTACAGCCAATGCATCTTTTCCTTTTGTGCAAGGTATTCACACCCCTTGCTGTCTGTGCCCTCCCTGAGAACTGCAGATGTTTTAATTTGGACTCCTGTTACTTAATCCAGATTTGCTATAAAAAGTTTGAAGGGACCCATGAAGGTCTTATGTCTGAGGCACTTGCCTTGGTGTCATCATAAGTAAGCTAATGGCTTGTTACTGTGTTTGTACTAACCTTGTCTGGGTGTGCATGTTGGGTTGGTTGATCTTCAAATCCTAAATTAGCCGAGGCTTGTAAATTCTGGAGTTTACAAACACCTCATGAGAATGTAAAACACAACTCCCTAAATAATAGGAGAACTTTAAGAGTGCAATATAGGGAGTTCAACAGCTGTATAACCCTAAAAAGCTGGAAATCCAAAGTCAGTTCTGGAAAGAAGTCTTAGACTTGAGTTGTTGCTTTCAGTTCACAGGCTGGTGAAAGATAGAGGCTGAATATACCCTGTACATTGTCAGACCATCACTGTATTTTTAAATTTTTAATCTGACAGAATTTTACGGAAAAGGAGCCCCATACAATGCTTTGGTTGGAAAAGACTCAACAAGAGGAGTTGCAAAGATGTCTCTGGATCCAGCAGATCTTACACATGACACAGTAAGAAAATGGGCCATCAGTTTAACTTCACTTTGCAAATTTTTATTATTATGCAAGATGATGAGTGATGATTTAAAATTGTTTTTATTTATGTAAGTTGATTCACATATTTAAATTCAAAATAAATTAGTTCTCTTTAGATACATAAAATATATTTACTGATCGTGAAAGGTGCTAACAGCCTTCAAGAGGAAGGTTTTTCATTTGTGGAAACAATACAACTTCTGTAAGCATGTAAAAGGGAAATCATCTGCTGTTTAAAAAGATGCTCACAAAGACAGTAAATCTCTTTCTTTGCCAATTAGTTTGGTGTATCCTGACAGGGCAGTGAATGCTAGCTCTGGTGGTGGGTTGTTGCTTGTTTGACCTGAGTACCTTAAAGTTTTGTCAAGGCTGAATTTGAATGGAAAGAATACAATTACAGGCTATACTATCAATTTTTTTCATCATGCTCTGCACTGTAAACCCAAAAGCTGACCCTAAGGTTTACAGTCATTGTTAAAAAAAACAAAAGCATGTAAATATCTCTACTTTTGTTTCTTTGAGACAGGATTTCATTTTCCTATTTCCTTTAGACAGGACTCACAGAGGAGGAATTGAAGTCCCTGGATGACATCTTCAATAATGTTTACAAAGCCAAATATCCAATTGTTGGCTATACTTCTCGGCGAATTCTGAATGAGGATGGCAGCCCCAATCTGGACTTTAAGCCTGAAGATCAGCCACATTTCAGCATTAAAGATGAGTTTTGAGGAACATTTTGTATTTAGAGAATGCTTGGGGAGAGGCACAACAGAATATTAAATAAATTCCCTGTGTTGTGGAGTTCATTACTACAGTCAGTTGTCACGAGTCAGTTCTCTGCTCAGAAAATATGTGTGTGTGTATACACATAGCATAGAGGAAACAAACAGATCTGTAATAGTGTCATACACCTGGGCTGATTGCTGGGAATTACAGGAATTATTTAACCTGCAAGTTCTTTCTGCCAGGGTTTCTCTGTTAAGAAGTGTATAATGTGAAATTACATTCCTTAGAAGAGAGAAGAAAGCTTTTAATAGTTGAAACATGACTGGTAGTTTTGTAAATCCCAGGTTGTTTCCCACTTCTTGGAAAAGTGTAAATGAATTATTTGGACAAGCTAACATCAATTCTCTGTGCTTCATGTGAATGTAGGTATCACGAGTACAGACAGGTGCAATAGAAGCTTACATTTGAAAAAGCATTCTGGGGTTTAATATTAGATGGGTTTTGAGAATACTGGATATAAAAGCTCTCAGTCTCTTCAAATGCAGTTACTGTGAAGTATTTCTGCAAAGCCTAGCGCTGTAAACTGAGAAAAATAAATATTTTTCCCCTATGAGGACTACTGTGACATTTTAAATAAGACTATTATGTTAGGTTTGGATAAAGGACACTTTACTTTTTAAAAATAATTACCAAAGATGTCATCTATATTAGATTATGGTGATTTCCTTCTACCTTCCTCCAATCTTTCTTTGACAAAAAGAAGAAATTGTAGCCCACAGTTTGAGATGTACTCTTACAGCATGAGTTTATTATGGCTGTTTAATGTCCTGTGGATGTTGTTAGCGTTTTTATATTAACATTTTCAGCTCTCTTTTTTTTTTGTCTCTTAGTTTTTCTTTGTTCTTACCCTGGCTTCATCACTGCTGTTTTAATGAAGTGTGCAATGCCATGTTCCTCTTCCTCTTAACCTGATGCAAAACTGCAGGTCCTGCAGGGTGAAAGCAGACCTCTTTATGGCATTTTCCTGGCAGTCTTTCAGCAACGAGAGGACTGTAAAAGCCTGAGCTGTGTAAGTTGCTGCTAATCCCAGACTTTCACTAATTTAAGTAGAATGTGAATTGTCCCATATGTGGATTTATCTGTCACCATTTTGACTGATATGGGAAAAACAAAGCAGCTGCTCCTAATTCTGTATTAATAATACAGATATAATAAAAATATGATTGTGTATTATTGTTCAATTTCTTAAGCATTTTGGTAACTTTCTATGAAGGGAAGATTTTATTAGATGATTCTCCACCTTCTAGTTTGCAGGGGACAGCTGCCTGTCAGTTGAATAACTAGAAAAGCTGTTTCTATGTATTTGCCCATTTTTTTTCACAATGTTACAGATGTTATTCTAGATTTGTTTTGTGTCTCACTATTAGACCACTTTGTTTGCAGGAGGGACTCCATGGGCCCTTCCACTGTTGGATGGTGCACTGAGTAGAAAAAATAAATCAGCATCTAAGAAATTACTATTGCTTCAGATAATTATTTTTGTATTACTGATTATTATTATTACTGCTCACCTTCTGATTAGAGACCAGCAGCTGGGAGTTTGCTCCTTGATGATACCTATTGTCTTTGTGGGAATGCACGTGGGTTTGGTGGTTGGTTGGTTGCCAACATTTCACAAATAATTTTTCATTGCCTACTTTTTTTTTCTCTTCTCCTTTCCTTGCATACTTCTTGATGGGGCAGCTTCAGTAGTTGTTCTGCTGTGATTACTGCAGAAGTCTTTGCTTCATCTGGGATCATGATATCCAGCTGCATTTCAAAAAAAAACCCTTCTAGCTCAGTTGCTGCTCATCACTGCTGAGAGGCTCAGTGTTCCTGTTCTTTCCCTGCTTTCCCTGTTCTCCCTATGTAATCACCTTTGCTGATGTCAAAGCAGATAACTCAGCTTTTGCTTGTACTGAATTTCAGGTTCTTTTCAGTGAGGAGGTGCTCCTGTTGCAACAAGAAATGGTGATATAAAACCCTCTCCTGTAATGCAAGATCCTCACAAATCCAACCTGCTTTCACCCTGTCTGTGGGGGAAATGCTTTAGTCCTTCCTTTCTGTTATTAAAGACAAGGTTTTCACAACTGAGTACACTTTAGAATGCAAAACATCTCCTTTTTGGTTTTATTTCCATTTGGAAACTGAAGGTCTCACATTTAATCAACTCCTAGGCTATTTCACTTAGGCTACTTCACTCAATAGAAGTGTTACAACAACAAGGCTTTAAGTGGACACATCCTTAACACTTTTTCACTGACTGCTTCTTAAAAATGCATTCAGAGTACCACAGTATTTCTTTTAGTGTTAGTTCAACAACACTATTTTATATCTAAGGCTGTTTTACTTGCCAATGGCCTGAAATTGATTTTGCTTAAAAACAAACTGTCAGCTATGGCTGCTTTGTTCAGGCAGCTGCATTTCCCTGACCTCTGTATTATTCCAGCATAACAGGTGCCCTCATGATCTATAAATTGCACTCAAAACAAGCAAGCTGTGCAAAGCCCTGTTGTAGCCCTCCTACTCCACATCTCCTTTGGAGAGTCTAGAATTTCTTTTCAATTTGCTTACTGCTTCCAGATAGCATTGCAAATGCCATTATTTTTGCTGCGTGTTTCCAACATGCATCTTGCTAACTTAGGTCTAAGGTTTTTATGAATTGCTGCACCAAGAATTAGTGTTAGAATCCTTTAGTATTTAATAATAGTTTACTCTTCAGAATGTTAAGAATTATCAGATGGGTTCACTTACCTACAGGATGCATAATCTCAGTTGGTATTTCCCACCTGGCACTCTTTTCAATAGTCCCTCACTTTGACCCTAGCACATTTGTGACAGGATAAATTCTATCATCCCTACCTTAAGAAGGATTTCTCTTTCCTCCTAAGAATGTGTTATTAGTTATTGCATCCTAATCTAAACAAGACCACCTGATGGAATGCAGGGACTCTGAATCCTACAGACTGAGAAGCTGAGATTTTTCCAAGAATTTAGGATAAAACATAAAGTTATTTCTTTTCATAATGTGTATAAAGACACAATTTTTTTGTAGCCGTTTGCCAGAACATGAGTCTTTCATTGACTTAAATCAGGTTTTGTGTTAGTTTTCTTCTGCAGAAAAGACCTTGTGGTTCTTTGAAAACTGCAGCTTAGGCTATTAACTTTGTGGTCTGATGGTACCACTGGCTGTGAATTCATTGCAACATCAGCATAGGAATCAATGTGGGATCACAGTTCAGACTGCTCTTGTCAGACCTGCTAGACTTCCATGTTTCAGTAAAAATAAAAAGTAAATAATAATAATAATAAAAAAGGATGGTGCTTTAGAATGGAAGAAGCCTCAAAACAGTTTGTAAATCAACTCCTTTTATTGTTGTTTCAAAATCACTATTAGTCACTACATCAAACAAATGATAGCTTGGAAAGGTGTTAAATTGCTGTAGTTTTCCCTTGTAAGACCCCCAAGAACCTGTAGAGCAAGAAAAATTGTTTAGATGACTTTCACATATGTATTCTGTCTCTTATAGCTTAATATATGTATCTGAAATGGGCTCAATGTAATTTGCATTTGCTCAAGAGAAAATGGAAGAGATGTGGAAAGATGCTCTTAGGAAACCCAATGCTAATTTTTCAGCTACTCTGGTTGAACTGAAAGGAAGAAGTGAAAAAAACATCTGACTGCTTCTGTGAGTGAAAAAGCTGCCATTCAGAAGGATTCAGCTGCACATCAGGAAGATGTGCTAAGCAGCTCTGATTAGTATTTGAATATTTTCAGATGAACACTGGACATCTTGAAATCCCAGAACTGACATAAGTGATGACAATCACACACTTTGTCACCCATCATCCATTTATTCCTTTGCCTAATGTTTTCCTGTCCATGCATTTATATGACAAATCTGTGCCCCATAAGTAATATTCACAAAAATGCACATGAACCTATAACCTGGTATACATGGTATACAGAATAGCAATTTTCAAACAAACTAGTACTTGTCTGTGAATGCTTTGAAATAAACGAAAAAATCACTAAATTTTTAGATTTATAGCACTTCACTCAGAGCTCTGTCTCTGAGTGCCAGTTCAGACTATTATAATTTACAATGTATCTGTCTGCTTTGGTAGAAAAAATCAGTGCCGTATCAAAGGGTTTTTTTTTTTTCCCCTCTATATTCAGTCAGAGTGTCAAAGACCTAGGTGTATCATAGGTGGGCATCACGAACAGCATAGGCATTATTTTGACCTTGGTATGTCCAAAAAAACCCTTAACCCAGAAAACAGAATGGGTGGGAAATGAGAATTTATCTTAGTGTGCTACTGGGACAATTTATACTGGCAAGGTAGATCTGGCAGAGCAGGTCTGATAGCAGTGCTTCCTATTTTTGCTGCTGTCAAATATAGCCAATGATAACAATGTAAACTTGTACCCTTATCCATCTCTTAGGCTTTACATAATACCTTCTGGTTTAGCTTTTTTTTTTTTCTGTTCAGTAGAAAGTGTGAGTCCTCATTCACTTGTTTACAAAACTTACACTTAAAACTTGGCTTGGGTTATCTCTTGATGAGAAATCTAAACTAAGAGAAACTGAGATTAATGTTCTGTGAAAAATAGAGCTTGTGCACCTGGATGAATTGCAGAGCCACAGGAAACACACTTGAATAAACAATTTCTTTTAATGTTTCCTGTAAGTTATTTGTAGCTGTTGCCATCAGAAATTTTGTACTCTTGATGAATGTTCAGCTTACCATGTTCTGCAGTACTTCTTGACATGACTCTTTATCATTCTGACATGAGATATTATCCTTCTGAGAAGTGAGAAGTTTAGAAGAAACTGGGTACAGGCCATCTTGGAGATAAGCCAGCCAAGAGAAATCAAAATATGACCTAATTTTCCCTCTACTTAAAGAAACTTCTCTGAAAGAGGAAAAGAAATCACTGCCCCAGGGTCTTTATTTTACCTTCCAGATTTTGCTGAAAGTTTTCCCATACTGTGCAAAGGCAGCAGATAAAGCCTTGAAAAAGCCTTGAATCTAAACCCTTGCATT